GACATTTGACAGTGACAATTTAAACATAGATAAAACATTAGACAAAAATGAAAATACAAAACAGTGAAACACAAGTGGCGGCTGAGTGTCTTACAGTGAAACACAAGTGGCGGCTGAGTGTCTTACAGTGAAACACAAGTGGCGGCTGAGTGTCTTACAGTGAAACACAAGTGGCGGCTGAGTGTCTTACAGTGAAACACAAGTGGCGGCTGAGTGTCTTACAGTGAAACACAAGTGGCGGCTGAGTGTCTTACAGTGAAACACAAGTGGCGGCTGAGTGTCTTACAGTGAAACACAAGTGGCGGCTGAGTGTCTTATTATCCGAGTATATCTTTAAGCTGGGATTCATATTATAACTTTTATTAACTCATGCATCATCCGCCGCTACCACTTACCATGGTGATGAAACAAGGAGCAAAACAACAGCGAAGAGAAGACGTCACTATCACACAACGATGAGACGTCAGGTGACCGGAACAGAAGGAACAAAGGACTGCGGTATAAAAGTCGGTGAACAAGCGACAACAAACATGTCTTCTATTAACTGAAGAAATAAGAATGTACTTCACAGGTTGATTTAAACTAAAGGACAAAAGGATCTTACAAAAATATATTAATAAATTCTTCTCTGAATTTATGTTGGTATTTTGTTTTAGTGTCAGGCAAAATATGTTTGAACTTTATGTAAAAGATTCAATACTTAGACTTTATATCCAATGATTTACCAAGTGAAAGTCTGGGCTTTATCCTATATTGACCGAGACAAGACCTAGTTTGTTAGTAGTTGAGAGAACCTTGGAGCCATAGAGTGAGAACAGGCGGGGGAAGTCTAGGATAACAGAGGGCAGTATATACGTGTATGCAAAAATCTTTTATTCAACAGGAGAATTTTTTTTACTGTACCTATAAATGATTTTTAAAAGTGTTGTTGAGAAAGAGATTAATAAGACTTTGTGAAGAATTGTCAGTTTAATAATGTTCTCAAAAGGTTGAAGCAGGACACTAACGTACTGATAACCTCACTTGACGAAGGACTTGGCGCTCAATAGACGAACAAAAGAGATTACAGCAATAACGTTTTGAACATTCTCATAAACCTCGAATAATTTGGTAAAAGAACCGGGATCTGGAGGTGTTAATAAGTCCGCAGTAACGGCCCGTGTTGTTGTTCCTTAACGTGTTCCTCGAAGACTCTGTTAATACACCGATTGAGATGATCTTCAGGAAAGCAAAAGATAACGGCGCTGGACAAGCATTAATTAACGATATTCTTAAAGATAACAACACCTGAGTCCATATTCATGTTTAACTATAGCTGGAGCACCTGGCGTTGACCGGGTTTGTTTTTGACGAAGTAACGTTAACCCTAATGACTATCGCACTACCCTAGACTTACAGGGTCAGTTCATAGCTTATGGCCGAACCTTGCTCACTATGAGGTGCACGTACCCAAAAAAATAACTATATCAAATTTGAGCTCTATGTTGTAACACTTTAGAGGTGCGTTTAAGAAGAGTGACAGTGCAGGTATGTGAGGAGAAACAAACTAGATGTTTTACATTTTATCCATACAGGTAGTCGTCAAGGTAATTACCTCTATTTAGTGTGTGTGTGTGTGTGTGTGTGTGTGTGTGTGTGTGTGTGTGTGTGTGTGTGTGTGTGTGTGTGTGTAGAAAATATATTAAGCAGCAATAATCATCATAAAAAAAACTAATGAATAAAATGCTTAAGAAAAATATATCACATAATCTCGCCATTTGAGAGCTTGGGAGTGGTACTGATGATTCCCCCAGCGAGTGAGGGACAAACAGACAAACTACAAGACAGACACACACAAACACACACAAACACACACATGAAGACAAGCGACAATGACATCAATAACTCTCTTCTCTTAACAATATGATCGGACAATTACAGACATTCATACAACCGAAAAACTCAAACCTAAGCGTCAACAGGTGTATGAGAGTAACTTGAGCAAGGTAAAGGGGCTTGCTCGCTCCTCTTCGGTCTGGTGGTGGCGAGGAACAAGTAATGGCGGCAGCGTGACGAGTACGTGGGTGGGGGACTCGGGGAACGAAGGTGGCGAGGGATGGGTCGCTGGGGAGACATTTGTGGAGTTTAACCTCATTAATTAACAAGATAGGAATATACTTAGGTAAAATTTGAAGAGTTCGGTCAGGTCTTAGTAGTGAAGATGATGTTATTTTCTGTCAACGCTGGGGGGAGGGGTCATATATATCAGCATATAATTGAACTGGTTTGACTCATTGATCTTTTTATTACAAAATTTAAAAAAACAAAACAGTTATGGACAAGCAAATTTAGGAAGAACTTGTCAAGATATCTTCTAGGACATCTAATTCAATGACACAATTACATAATTCATGAAACAAGATGTCCAAGGTGGTCTGTAAGTCTTAAACAATGACTCGTTCTGTAATGTTCAAGGTTAAGCTTTAAAGGTCTATCACCAAGTTTACCTGCTGGGTCTTCCGGTACGGGTTGAGCCTCACTAAATACACCGTGTCTTTACTCTGGCTTCACTGTTTACAACTACAATATTGTCTGGTTCTGTGCTTGTTCTGGTCATACCGGTACCTCTTGTCACTAAATATGTCATACTTGCTAATCCTACATCTTTAACCATCAAGTCTGTCTGTCTGTCTTTCTCAATTCTACACCAGAGTTCATGATTTTAACTTGTATTATTTTTCTATACCTATCATACAATGGCCAGAGTCACAATCTATAATTTCCTTTTTGTGAGCTTCGTTGGCCAGGAATGCGATGTTTCCAAATTTCAACCGCGAAGGTTACTACTCCACCTACCTGTTATTACATTACTATGGATATCACATTCAACGTTTGGCATTGAGGTATATGGTGAGAGGGTAAGGTAGAAGGTGAAGCAAAAAGGCGGAAGTGAATCGAATGATGAAGAAAGTAGAGGAGGAAGAAGAGGAAGTCGAAGAATAGAAGTGCGAAGGAAGGATAAAACTGGAGAATTTAAGAGCTGGGAGAACTAGGAGAAAGGAGGAGGGTCACAAGGCTCAGTGGGGTGAAAGCGTGGAAGGAAAACGGGGTTGAGGGTGGGAGGGAGACTGACACAAAAAAAAGGGTGCTGGAGGGATAGGAAAGAAAAATAGGGCGTGGAGGACGGAAATGGAGGTAGAAGCGGTGTGGTCATAACATAGCTGCCAGAGGGGAGGAGGTGGGGAGGAGGAGGTGGGGAGGGGAGAGGTAGAGAGAGGGGAGGAGGTGGGGAGGAGGAGGTGGGGAGGGGAGAGGTAGAGAGAGGGGAGGGAAGGGGAGTCAAGTTTTATAACAGAAGACGCCACTAGGAATACATTTTAAGTCTTATTAAATTTTTGATAAGTTCTCGTAACAACTCTCTAGCTCTGTGGTATTACGAGTCCCTCTTGGTAACCCGTGTAAAGAGCTTATGATGTCAGGCCAATACAACTTTCTCAAACTCCCGTATGTTGGGAATTCTCGAGACAAAAGCAGTATAGTTTATTTTCTTAAATCTTCAATGCTGTTGTGAGTTAAGGGAATAAAATAGAAATTGTTTAGTTTTCTCGTCCTTTTTCGTGGTAATTTAACAAGATAACAGTCTAATAAATCATTCTATATATTATAACAAAATGACCTTAACGGCACAGCAGTAATACATTTATATATCAAATTCCTCACCACACTGACGTAAACTTTGTAATGTACAGAAAGAGAGAGAGAGAGAGAGAGAGAGAGAGAGAGAGAGAGAGAGAGAGAGAGAGAGAGAGAGAGAGAGAGAGAGAGAGAGAGAGAGAGAGAGAGAGAGAGAGAGAGACCATCACCAGGACACCCGACACACACTCTCAAATACTACAATTTGTTAACCACGATGAGTCACACCTCCTACAGAGCCTCCTTCAGGGGGTCCCAGAAGGTCAGGTAGCTTCTCAAGAAGTCTTCAGGGAGGAAACTTGAGACGAGAAACCGCGATGTGACCAATAGTTAGTGTGTGCTTCAGGTTGTTAAATGTGCGACAGGTAGTTAAGAGTATGATAGGTAGTTAGGAATATTACAGGTAGTTAGGAGTATGACTGGTTGTTAGGAGTATGACAGGTAGTTAGGAGTATGACAGGTAGTTAAGAGTATGACAGGTAGTTGGGAGTATGACAGGTAGTTAGGAGTATGGCAGGTAGTTAGGAGTATGACAGGTAGTAAGGAGTATGACAGGTAGTTAGGAGTATGACATGTAGTTAAGAGTATGACAGGTAGTTAGGAGTATGACATGTAGTTAGGAGTATGGCGGATAGTTACCAGAGTGACGGGTAGTTACCAGAGCGACAGGTAGTTGTGTGCAAGATTGTTGTCAAACTCATATGAATTTATCCTTCCATAATACTACCATATACACAAACAGGGAAACACCTGAGCTTATCAAACATTACTTACATCATCAATCAGTATTCAGGTGTGTGTGTGTGTGTGTGTGTGTGTGTGTGTGTAAACAGACATACCACAATACCCTGCCCTTGGTACCTCACACACCTGTCCCACCATACTTCGAGGTAGGTGCAGGTACCAAGTCGTGATCTTCGCCTTAACTCCGCTCATCCAACATTACTGTAAGGCAAGAGTCTCTAGATGCGATGTGGACGAGAGTTTGGGCTGTGTCTCGTGGCGTTGTTGACAGGAAGGAAGCACATCGTAAACACACTGGTCATGGGAAGTTTCCTCTATTTATACTGTGTACTGAGAAGCCAACAATGTCTCTCTCTATATCTCTATCCCTTTCTTCCTTGCCATCTCTTTATCCATTTCTCCCTCTCTCTCTCTCCCTATCTGTCTGTGTGTCTCTCATCTTACAAGGTAAACAACATTGTCAGTTAATTAGAAAAACGGTGCTGAAAATAATGAAGCATCAAATCTGGACTTTTTTTTTCCAGGATGAACATGTATGTACAGGTTAGTGAGGTGGTATAGTCAGATGGGTGTATGGTACTCACCTCTCAGTCGATGTTGATTCCGAACCGCAATCGCCTTTAAACTCGTCCTGGGGAAGAAAATTCAATAAATCTCTCCTATTCTTACTCTTTACAATCATACTGGGTTAAAAAAAAAACAAAAAAAAATGCAAATACCCTCTTCCCTCCTGTCGTCTATCCGATTGTCCTGGGAAAAAAAACCCACTAGAGCTAATACCTTTTTCCAGTGATGCAGTCTTTGTGATGAACCGACAAAAACAAGAGTAAAAATACTCCCTCCTAACTGAACTAGAAGCCATTGGAAATAAATAATAATAAAAGAAAAGTTCTATACTATTGCTACATGAAGTTTGATTCTTGTTAGAAGTTTATATTTACGTAACAATAATAATAATAATAATAATAATAATGATAATAATAATACTACTACTACTACAACTACTATTACTACTACTATTATTACTACTACTACTAATAATAATAAAAATAATAATAATAATAATAATAATAATATAAACACTACTACAACTACTATTACTACTACTATTATTACTACTACTACTACTAATAACAATACACAAGATGTAGGAAGATTTACTATAGTTATTTAGCTTATAATATAATATCAAAGGTTTACTATATAAATGCTATTAACTTTAAGAACTGAAGATAAAAGAATTCAATGAGGTGTGTGTTTACTTTTCTGTTCCTCTTCCTTATAAAATTTTGACTTATAAACATTCATATATTACGACACACAAACATTAATATAACCTACACAAACATTCATACATTACGACTTATACAAACATTCATACATTACGACTTATATAAACATTCATACATTACGACTTATACAAACATTCATACAATCCGACTTATATAAACATTCATACATTACGACTTATACAAACATTCATACAATCCGACTTATATAAACATTCATACATTACGACTTATACAAACATTCATACAATCCGACTTATATAAACATTCATACATTACAACTCGCAAAAGATAAACAAACATCATTATAATTTCCGGCAAGTCACAAAAGCATTTTTCTTGTAAGAGTCACCAAATGCCCTTGGAGTAATCAATGCAAGCAGCCAACCCCCGCATACACTGGGGTAACAAACGCACGGAAGCCACACACACACACACACACACACACACACACACAACATAAATAATGCAGACAATACTTAATCAAATCCACGGGTTGGCGTCCGAACAGTGGAGGCAGTGTGTGTGACTGCTATCCGGTGTCTGTCAGTATTGCATTAGTAACACTGTAACATAAGGGGCCGCCCACACACTGAAGGCCGCCCACATATAATCGTCCACCAACGCCCATAACGCGTAGGCACAGAGGTCTGATCTTGTGTTTATAACCCCTGATAAACGTATCTGATATACAATTATTCGCGCTAACCGTCCACTCGTGTCCCAGTACCAACAGACTAAAAATCCGCCCATAATATTATGACCATTCACAATGCCGACAGGAGGCCTATGAGGTTTGGAAAAGAAGTCGTGATTGGATGGTGAAATAAGTACTAATTACGGGTGAGCTCTCTCTGAAAAACTGAATTTAGTCGCAGCTCTATGCCGCTAATGCCTTGGGGTGATGGTGACGTAGGCCGATATGGACGGTCACTTAGTTTATCCTGGTAATGGTACGAGTGTATGGGTGAGGTGGTCCTTCCCGGTAGTGATAGCTTAGTGTAGGGAGACGATATATAATAAAAAATTGTGTCCCGTCTCTTAATAAAATAAAAAGTTAACTTTCCCTTTTAACTTTGCTTGATCTTTTTAATAACAACTGATGAACAAGTAACAATATTGTTCTCGTGTTCCTCATGGGCAGATGATACACTTCATTCAATGATAGAATTAAATTAGGTAAGGGGCTGATCCTAAACACTGCTCCTCGTTACTACACTAACCATTTCCCCTCCTGCAGTGTGACGCATGAGCCCCAACCAGTCCACATATATAGTATACATCCAGGGCACAGAGAGGTGATATACGCCCGTGTGGCTCAATGACGGTCTCTATATAACTCACATTAGGGGTGTATACATTACCTTATCAATCAAAAGCTAAAAAAAGAAAAAAGAAGAAACCAGCACACCCAGATAAGAGCTGACACACACAACAGTTGCTCCTTGTTGGTCTTGAAGCATGAATCACTCCGAGAATATGACAAATCACCACCAACTTGTGGTAAAATAGTGTAGAACATGAAAGGAGGCGTTCTTCAAGGGCAAGATGAGAACCCACCTCCTCTGACACAAGACCACTGTGACACCTAACAAGGGGAGGGTTCTACTACTTCCTCACGTTGTGTCACTTAAGCTATTTACATAAAATATCTAATTATATTAATAAAAGGCATAATTATTAACGGCATCTCTGTCTTGGAGGACTTTTCATTTTACTAATAAACGAAAGATCACAAAATTGACAACACTCTTTAAATAATGTTTGAAAAATATCTTAATAAATATGATATTGACTTATAAAAATATATTATAATGACATTAGTTGTTATTTCAATGCACCAATAACACGTCCACGGGTCACAAGTAATAGGGTAATGCCTCGGAGATATTTAGTTACATCAGATCAAGTTCCCTGCGACCGAGAGATTTATGAGCTGTTTAAGGTTGTCAAAATATTTGCCTGGGACTGTTGTGTGGAGTCTCGGCCAGTGTTCGTGCCCGTGGGAAGGTCACGCCCATTTCCACCCACGCTGTTGATACGCAGTAGTTACGTCCCGCACCACCGACACGTTACAAGTCGGCAGTTGGAACATTACTTGATTCTAAACTGTGTAAAAGCTATCGAATTTTACCTGTGAATCCCCAGAAGACGTTATCAGCAAGCGAGTCAGAACGGAACTCAGAGCAAAAGCCTTCAGATCATATTAGAAATAGGTCGATCTGCTTCGGCCTCTGACCAAACGCGTCCTGTAGAGCTTTGCAATGAACTGGTAAACTGATACCTTGTCGGTGTTGATTTGTTGTGTCTTGCTGTTAATAATAATCGTGTTTAAAGTTGCCACTGTTTGTATATTTTGAGTCCTGGTTTTCCCGCCTTGACACAGTGACACTATGATGACGAAATGATTTTAGACATTTTTAATTAAAGTTATTGAAGTATGGAGTAAATCCTAAAAGTGTGCTAAAAATAAATACAGACACGTGTGTGTGTGTGTGTGTGTGTGTGTGTGTGTGTGTGTGTGTGTGTGATGAATTAACTGACCCACTATCTTATATCTTACTGTAGGTTCCCTCCAACATACACTCACCCACACATACTTCCCTCCACCATACACTCACTTCCCTCCACCATACACTCATTCCCTTCACCATACACTCATTCCCTCCACCATACACTCACCACCCTCCACCATACACTCACTTCCCTCCACCATACACTCACCACCCTCCACCATACACTCACTTCCCTCCACCATACACTCACCACCCTCCACCATACACTCACTTCCCTCCACCATACACTCACTTCCCTTCACCATACAATACCCCCACACCTTCCACCATACATCTCTTTAAATAAGTTTGTTTATCTTCCCACTATAACTACTGTATTTGTTAATTTTCTTTATATAAAATAGTTGCTCGTTATCTTCTAATCAGTACGAAACAAGTGTCGAATGATGATTAATGTATATTCTATAATAAGTCGATTCTGAAGTAAGGTTGAGTGATCATCGGATGTTTTGTTCCAATATTGTAAGAAGATCGTGATATTTGAGGTACATTTGTGTTGTTTTAAAATGTACTATCTCTTTCGTTGGGTATTATTTAAGATCTTTTCTGTCATTTCTTGCATTTGTTTTTGTTTCTGCTTTATAATAGAAGTTACCTTATTTTTTTTTGGTATAGTTGTCAGTGATATATATATATATTTTTAATATTCAAATAACTATTATTTAAAACTACGGCCATTGATAATTTTAATGACTTTTTTTTTCCTTTCAACATTTTGTGCGGCATGAAATTTTTGTTTTAACTTATTGTTATCCTAATATGTTATACAAGTGAATAAAGAATCTTTTGTGGAGTTCTTTATTACATGTTTCTCTTTTATCGACGACGGTAACGGTAAATCATATATTAAAGATGACCTGACCTAACCCAACCCAACCTAACCCATCCTAACCTAGCCCAACCTAACCTAACCTAACCTAACCCATATCTACGTTGTTTGGATTCAGTTAGTTCGTTTTTTGTTTGTTTTAAAAGAATTAGTAGATTAAGTTATAAAACAAGACATTACGTTCAAACAACTTTTCTCCTATAATAAATTTTCACATTATAGAGTAGTAAAGGTGCGATAGTGCGTTAGGAACGTCATCTACACACTCACACTCAACATACACTCACTCGTCCACTTACCTTAGTTATCCATTCAAGAGGATCAATATTTACAAATCTATTTTCCTTCTTCATCCACATCTCATCTCCCTCTTCCATCTTCCCCTCCTCCTCTTCTTTCTCCCACTCCTCCCCTTCTTTTCCTCCTTCCCCCCTCTCTCACTCCTCCTCAGCACCTATCTCTCACATACGTATTGCCGGGTGGTGACCTACGCCAGCTGTGACGCTTCCAGATCTAAACTCACCCTTCGTAAACACTGTGACTTTGTACCCCTACACTGAACCAGCTGGTGCCAACAGACATACATACACAGATACGCACACAAACATACATACATACATACATACAGAGGCAGTAAACCCCGGAGTATAGGCTATAGAGCCGTAGTTGCTGAAGCCCTTGTATCCAAAAGCCCCATAAACTTGTATAACAGGGAACAAGCCCCAATAGAACCACACAAACAAGCCAATTCCCCCTATCGCTATCCATCGCTATTTTTGAAGTCGTTGTATTTTTTTTTTTTTAGTTTATCTCTCCAAACGTATATTTTTCTTTCCACTCAAATTTTTACTTTATTTCCAGATGTTTGATGTAGGTATGTCAGGTATTGAGTTGTGTTGACGTTACAGACAGACAATGAACTGTATATTATTCCATA